GATTTCCATGCAGCTTGTTATGTGCCACTGTAGCTGCATGCCTCACATTCCATTGCAGTATGAATTATGCATAACATTAATTATGAAGGCCATAAAAGAATTCCAGTATGCTTGTCGCTGGCTGTCTAATAGCAACCTGTGTGATGGGTTGAAAATGACCTTATCCATATTCAACAATTAAACATGCACTTGAGCATAATCATATGTATTTAGGAGGAATGTAATTAAAGGACGGATGTGACATGGTGAGACATACCTGGTCTTGAAGTAATCTGTGATGGCTTTGATTTGATCGGTGGTGAATAAAAGACTGGCTTTACTGGCAAGTACTGTTTGGATAAATGTCTTGAAATTATCAGCAAATGATGACTGTTTGTCTGAAATAAAATGCAACAGGCATTGTGTTTTTTATTTCACAAAAAAATACGTAAATCTGTACTATGCTTCACGAATTGATACCAGATTCTCAATTAGTGTTAGGATAAATGGATTTTTAAAATACAGTTGACCTAAAGTAACAACCATGGTTGACTGTCAAACTAAACAAAACTTGATTTCAGAGAACACCACTTACTTTTTATGTTGTCAAGTAGTTGCTGTAAAAGTGCCATGATAAATGAGATTTGCTGAGAATTGAAGTTCATCTCTTTGGCCCACCAAAATCCATTGACAAAATACTCCAACAGCGCAGCTTCTTTCACACATGTTTGGTGGTTTTTGATATTCAGTATATCCTCAAGCTGCCTTAAAATGCAAGACACACAATATATCATAAATCCAGATATGTAAAATATCATATATGTAAATTAGATACAAAAAAAGGTGAATTATTTAATAATGAGAGTAGCTGACAAATATTGACACTGTTGTATATGTCAAAAGAACTGAATGTGCATATGATGAACAATTTTAAAGAAACTATTTTTAGTAAACTTACAACTGCACTTGGTCCACAGGCAGGCTGAGCAGAATATTTATTTGGTCTTGCTTTAGAAGTTCCCACTGAGGAAAGGATTTCTTCACTTCCTAGAATATGAGATAATACTATTACTAGAAAATACACATTCATGAATTTAATTATAATTAAAAAATAAACCTTACCCTTATAGCAAGTCTGAGATTAACCATGGTGTGAGTTATCTGAGAGTTAAGTTTCATGATATTTTATATTTTATTTTCACAATATATCTAAATTAGTTACGTGTTTACATTTGTCGCTTTGCAGACAAATGTAGTTGTCGCTTTGTCTCGGAACTGAATGTTGTTGAAAATCAGTTGTAAAAACATCATTAACACACATAAATCATATTTATGATCATAGAAATCAAATAAATCTACTGTGACAGTTGAGGGCTGTATAACTGCACATCAGGACCAGTCAATGATTTAAAATGTATTCTGACAGTGTTTGTTTTTCGATATCTTGTGCATTATTTGCATGTACTTTTGTATTGAATATTTGATTTGATATCAAGAATAACAGTTTAGATTGAGATCTAAAATACATACCATTACCATCATACCACCACATAATGGTCATAAGGGAAAATATTTCATGTCTGACACTTCATTACGGATTATATTAGCCTATATACAGTATACAGTTAAATTAATCAAAGTTTAATTACATTTTTAGACATTGGTATACAACTTAAAATGTTTGTAAATGTTATTAATACAAGTTTTCTTCTGTGTAGATTAGCACGGATCTTCTTCAGAGGTGTAACGTTACGCTAGATAGCTAACGTTACCTCACTTTATCATAGATCTACAGCAATCGTCTAAACACCAAGTGAATGACTGAATTCATAGGCATGTGGTTTACATACACTGAGCCCAGTATCATCTTTATCAGTTTCTTCTCCTCTCTTGATCTGCTCTGAGTTTTCAGCGGATCGGACCCCCTCTCGTGATCTCGCTCTTCCAGACATGTTGTTGTCTGTATACTGTTGCCCTGGAAACCACAGTGGGTGGGGCATGTGTGTTCACGCGCGCCTCGAAGTGAAACTCCAATCGCAAGCGTTGGGATAGCCATGGTCGTTAAAGAATTGTGTTATAATAACCCCTACAAATACAACTCATTATATATACACTATAAACACCTTACCTCGGTGGCCTCATAGCGGGTTACGGGCCTGGGTATAGCCTATTTCATTCGATTAAATCTGATTTTTTTTGCACGATCAGTCAATGCAGTGTCGCCAAGTCCCGCGGAATTGGGCTATCGTTACTTTAACACTGTTGCCGCGAGTTGTTTTTCTTATCCGCGGGTTGAGGGACCCCAATATCGTGATATTAAAACTCAAAACGCGATTGGGCTAGTTTTGAGTTGCAATTGGGAGGGTTTTGTCAATAGCTATTGTCTTTATGGTGGTGAAATAAATTTGTAAGTTATATGTTTTATATTCGTGATCATGATCTCACTGTGTTAATCAAATACATTTTGAAGAACCGATTCCCTAACCCATTGCGAGTTTTATAATTATTGCGAGTTTATAAAAGTCAGAAATTGAATTGCTTTCAATTCAATTTCAGTTTATATCTCGCAATTCTGATGTAAACTCGCAATAGTGAGAAAAAAAGTTACGACAGCCCAGCTCGAACTCTCATTTCAATTAGAATCAAAACTCACATATAGGCCTACATATTTTTTATTTGTATTTCACAATCCGAAATAAATGTAACTAGATGTTTTCTAAAGTGTTAGGGACAAGGGAAAACTACGGTGGCAGAGAAGTGCAAAGCAAATCACAATTCTGAAAACAAAATAACAAATTACAAACGCAAATGCAAGTCTAAAAAACAAAACAACAATTCAGAAAACATTATAACAAGTCAGAAAACACAATGACAAATCCGAAAACAAATTAAGTCAGAAAACACAACGACAAATCAGACAAAACGGAAGAGGTAGGTATAGTTTGAGACAGCACCATTGGTTTGGGATTACTCACCGTTGACTGGACGAGACATCTGTCAATCAACGTATACAGGGAAGAACCAGCCGAAGAACAGTAGAGTCGTGGTAGAAAGTTCGGAGACGGTATTAAAGTAGCTACAAGTCAGAAAACACAATGACAAATCAGACAAACCGGAAGAGGTAGGTATAGTTTGAGACAGCGCCATTGCTTTTGGGATTACTCACCGTTGACTGGACGAGACATCTGTCAATCAACGTATACAGGGAAGAACCAGCCGAAGAACAGCAGAGTCGTGGTAGAAAGTTCGGAGACGGTATTAAAGTAGCTCAGTTTAAATGTATTGTATGAACTGCCCTTACTATGGAATAAAAAAATACGGCATGTATATTTACATTTAGTTAAAACTGGCTGTTAATCATCAGCTCCAGTGGTGCAGATGGATAAGGGCTTGATATTGACTTTTTGATGCGATCAACCCGGGTTCGATCCCGCCTTTTGCCGAACATTTTTTTTTCCCCCTTTTCGACCCGGGTTGATCGCGTCAAAAAGCCAACGACACGCGCTTATCCATCTGCGCCACTGGAGCTGATGGTTTACAGCCACTTTTAACTAAATGTAAATAGACACCCCGTATTTTTTATTCCATAGTAAGGGCAATTCATACAATACATTTAAAGGGGTCATATGATGCTTTTTAAAGATCATTATTTGGTGTAACAGAATATGTTGACATGCTTTAATGTTCAAAAAACACATTATTTTTCTAATACTGTACATTATTGTAGGTCCTCTATGCCCGCCTCTCGCTGTCTCAAACTATACCTACCTCTTCCGGTTTGTCTGATTTGTCGTTGTATTTTCTGACTTGTTATTTTGTTCTCGAATTTGTCATTGTGTTTTCTGACTTGTTATAATGTTTTCTGAATTGTTGTTGTGTTTTCTGAATTGTTATTTTGTTTTTTAGACTTGCATTTGTAATTTGTTATTTTGTTTTGAGAATTGTGATTTGTTTTGCACTTCTCGGCAACCGTAGAAAACTCTTATCTCAAAATGTTCCATATTTACAGTAAGCCTAATAAAAATTCTGTTCAGTTACAAAATGTTTTAACAGTCACTTGTCAACGCAAGGTTTGTGTGTGATTGTATGGGTATGTTTACATTTTCACATTTATATTTCATTAGAAAAGCGCGTTCCGAGTTGTTTGGAAAACAGCATGTTCCAACACATTTTCAACAACTCAGATTCACTTTATATGGTTTCACTCCATAAAGTTCTCTCTGATAACTGAATGGTTATTGATGGTTTGCGATTCGGTTCGATCGAATCATTCAATTCAACCTGATTAACTATTTGGACCTCATTGCACCTCACGTTAACAGTTTATTCTTTAAAATAAGATATTACTGTCAAAGTAATATTTTATTGAGACTCTGCTAAAACATTCAGTCAAATTATACAAGACTTTAACAAAACATAGTCACTGAAACGTAGCCTACCAAAACATAATTTAAACAACACACGTGCCCTGTTGAAAAAACCAGCATATGCTGGTTAGGTATGTTTTGACGCTGGTTTAAGCTGGTCCTTTGCTGGTTTA